GAGTCATAGTTTGTAAACAGGGAGTTTAGACATCGGAAAGTGAGTTAGACTGATAAGCAGGGAGCTGATCAGACTGAACTCCAAGGGTGTAAGAAGAACAAGGAAATCGTTCTAGTGGTTACGTAGGAAATCTCAAGAAGAGAAATTCCTATCGTGGATTAGTCGATATTGGGTCCTTATTCTCCCAATATCGAATGCCACGTACAGATTGCTTTGGTGTTATGTTCATTTGATATTCTCCAATTTGTATGTTGGTTCTTTGATATGTGTACTCAGGTTCATGGCTGATCAGAATACAGAGGATTGAAGACAACAGCTTGAGGAAGAAGAAGGCAACTTGCTTGTTTGGCCGGCTCGATCTGGGTTAAGCCCAAACTTTAGTGTAGCAAGTGTCTGGGCTCAAAGCCCACTAAGAGTTTCGGTTTATTTTAGTTTCGTTTAATTATGTTTTACCTAAATACAACTGATATTTACACTCTTCTTCAAACACTCTTCACTTGCTTGGTCGATTATTCGATTAGGGTTTCTGTAGGATCTCGGAATCATGACCGCAAAAGAGGTAGCTATGTCTCGCGCTCGACACACTTTCACGTGGTATCAGAGCCAGACTCCGGTGTTAAAGGCGCAACCGTCTCCGGAGAAGGTGAGCTCGGGATTGGCGACCAGAATCTTTATGGCTGATGGGTTTTTGCAAACTCGTCCGTCAAGGTTTGAAGGTGTCAGCTATGGTTACTGGAGAAATCAGATGGAGCTCTTCATTTGCTCAACAGATCCTGATCTGTGGGTTATAGTCTTGGATGGTCCTCTAGAAGTGAAGGATGTCCGTGGGAAGTGGAAGAAACTGACAAGAGAAATTTGGGACAAACTGCAAGTCGCACACGAAGGTACCTCTCATGTCCAAATCTCAAGGATAAATAGTCTCAAGCAAGAATTTGAATAGGCCATTATGAAGCCGGATCAATCAATTAAGGAGATGAATGATCGGTTAACCACCATAGTAAATAGCTTGAGAAACTTGGAGGTGGAATACGCCAGCGCTGATTTAGTTTGTAAGGTTCTTTGGGCATTACCCAAGAAATGGAGAACCAAGGTCACAACGATTGAGGTGTCCAAAGATCTCACCAAGTTAAGTCTGGATGAACTGATTGGGTCTCTAGTCACACATGAAGATAAGTTAAAGAGAGAAGACTTTGAAGAACCAAGAAAAGAGAAAAAGGGCATAACTTTCAAGGCTACGACTCAAGAAGATGATATGGATTGCCTAGATGAAATTGAGGATGATGAGCTTGCTATGCTTAGCAAGCATGTGGTGAAGCTCCTTAAAATAAGAAAAGAAAAGAAATGAGGAAGCTTCCCCAACAGATCAAAGGAAGGTGAAATTGATAAAGAAACCAACAATGGAGGACGACAAGGTTTCAGAAGACGAAGGGAAGGAGCCAGTAATGAAAAACTCCAACCTCAAGCTGGATGCTTCAGTGCGGAAAGACAGGGCACATTCAGGCTGAGTGCCTTCTGGTCGAGAAGGAACGAGCATATGCTGCTACCTAGAGTTGCACTGAAGAAGATGAAGATGATGATGAATCCAATCACAAGTTCAGCACCTATATGGCCATTGACGAATGTGGAGCTAAAGAATCTCAGGTAAAATCCTACTACTCTGACTCATGTAGTGATGATGAATTGCTAGAAGAAACCATTAGGGATATTCAAAAATATTTTGTGAATGTAAAAACAAATATACCTCAATTAAAGTAAGTCATGAAAAACTACAAAGTGAGTTTGGAAAAATGATGGATGAAAAACTAAGTGCAGTGACTCGCTATGACACAACTCCTAACAAAGGCCAAGTGTAACCAATGAAAGGGACTGCAGTATAGTGGCTCAAGTAATAAATATCGAATCCACGGGTCTCTAGAGTTACTATTACTTAGCTTCAGTTCATTATCTAGCAAACCAGTTTAAGATGGATGAACTAAAACTACTCTAGCAAACTACAGTTAAAGTTAATCTAATTACAGGTTGGGAACTCACTTAGGTATGATTCCCCCTAGCCACTAGGCACATTAATGATTGATAATTTCTAACCTGTTTCACTTTCATTCACAATGCAGAGAATCCTTGACTAGACCTTGAATCTCGACTAAAGGATCAAGGCCCTCTTGAGTCGATTGCCTAGAGGGACGTATCCTTCTCTAGAACAACCGATCAAGGCGTTCTAAACTAGAGTCCCTCAATCAATACAAAGCAGTGAATTGACACTCGACTAAATCAATCGATCCAATACTATCAATCTATGGTGCTCTATTGACCTAATCATGTATTCGCTCTCATAGGATCAAAGCAGAATCAATAATTTCGACTAAAGCAGAACTAAATCATGAAAACGTGCATAGAATGAATATGAACTCATGATTATTAAGTAGGAGTACTCATACAATCATCCAATCAAACAAACATAGCTAGGGTTCCTCAAAACCTAAGTGAAGGGAAGTTACTCCATAGAGAAGAGAGAGACTGCAGTAAGAATCTTCAGATGATCAGTCTTCAAGTCCAGGCTTGTTCCTCGAGCTTCCAAGGCGAAGAAATCATCCAATTTCACTCCAAGAATGCCCTCAAATCTCCATCTCTCTCTCTTTGGTTCTTCCCTTGGGTTTTTGGGATCCAAAACCCAGCTCCACCCCTCTATAAACACACAAAACAGGCTTTTCACAGCCTGGGTTCGTGACCCGGTAGGGTATTTTGGGTACCCGGCCGGGTGCTTTTGGTTGACGACGGGGGGCCTTCTGATGCTGCCAAAAATACCCTATCAGATGGTCAAAATACCCGGTCGGGTATTTTGCAGTTCCAGGTCCCCTATCTTTGATTCTTCGTTTCTCCCTCGTTCGGACTCCAAATCAGGTGCCGTTTGATCCTAGACGCTCGTAGTCTCGTCCTATTTCTTCTCATGACAAGATTACATGATTATATGTTCACAAACTGAGTTAGAAATCCGTTCTTCTTCAAGTCATACCCGAGTTTCTTCCCCCGATTTGCCAATTGATCTCCGATTGACTTGAAACTTGCGCCTACGCTTCACTTTATGTGTTAGGACCTGAAATGTGACAAAGGAAAACAACCTAGCATAAAATAGGCCAAAGAAGAGATAATGCAAGCTTAAACGATCAAGAAACAAAGGGGAAAACATGTGCAAATATCGAGTCATCAAATCCCCCCACACTTTACCGTTTGCTTGTCCCAAAGCAAACCTGACTCAAACCAATGCAACTCTCCGGACCTCTATAGAAACATGCACCCTCGATCGTCGATAGAGAATTTCCTTGATCATTTAGCAGCTTACGAGGTCAAGCGACACATAAGTCATGTCCTAACATCTTCGGCGAGAACGCTAGTCTCGAGTCGGCATCATGGCAAATAGTGATCAGAGGACAAATGAATCTTGGACGAATGGACTTTCAAAAACAAAAGATAATGGACACACATTTTTAAGGTGCTCTATTTTCTTCTTGAAGATGGTTGGAACCCCTTTTCTTTCTTTTTTTTTTCTTGTTTTTCTGTTCAAGGGTTCCAACCTGTTTTTCAGAAAACGAGGGCTCCCACCTAGCAAAGGTTTTGCGGGAGCCCGGCTCTTACCAGCCATGCCGGGAGAGGATGTCTCGAGCCTCGTGCGGGGGAAATATATGTAAGGGGGCTGGAGGTAGTATGTTGAAATTGGGAACAGATTCCCGTATCCCCTTACACACTTTCGCCCTTTTCGCACGTGAGATGTTATTTTAAAGAACATTTTTTAGCAACTTTTATTTCAAAACATGATACAGGAGTCCATGACAGGTAGAGAGTCCACAACAACACACAATTCAAGGGTCCTAAGATCACTAATTCACACAATCAACCAACACAATATGAAGAATAAATAAGACTTTTTAAATGCATCAACATCCTCCATAGTGCTACACTACCTCCCTAGGGTGCATATTACTATAAAGACTGTCAATTCAAAGCATACTGAGCAGGCAATTGCAAGGAACACGTACTTGAGCCCTCAAATTTAAAAATTTGGACAGTGGACTAGGCTCCAAGCACACACATACAGCTAAACATTCACACGCATACATAATCGAACATCCCCCCACACTTAAGCACGACATTGTCCTCAATTGAGGAAAGATAAGGAGGGTAGAACGAAGTTACCAGATCAAGGGTGAATGATGGTGGACGGGGCAGGCGGTGCATTCCAGGAGGAGAGAGTAGTCGGGACACAAACACCACACAAAATCTCACAAAGGTTGAGTTATTGACTCTAAAATTAAAGAACAAAACTGACTCAACCGAAGAGAAATAAGGAAAGAAATGCAAACTGACTAGTTGGGTTGCCTCCCAACAAGTGCTTCTTTCACGTCGTTAGCCGGACGATGGCTCCTAAGTTTCGGTCCACCCCAAAACCTCCTTGAAGTTGAGGTTCTCGTCGATGAGGTGGAGTCTCAAGTCACGAGCATGTGGTGTGGCAGGTGATGAAGGCTCATGCACTTGATGCAGATGACGTCTCCACCCTCGAGAGAACTTCAACAGCTCGGCTTTTGTTGGCCTCACAATCCAACAAATTAAGGAACCCAACGATTTGTTCTTGTTCAAGAATCCATCCTTGAGTACCATTTCTTCAAGGCCTTCATAAATTTTGCTTGAAGCAAGTCCATAACTCTAGTTTGCTGTCTCTCTAATCAATTTTGGGCCTTGTTCTCTTGCAAGCCCGTCTACCCACACCATCAACCCACCTTCCTTATTCACCAAGCCCAACTCCTTTAAGTAACTACCCAACTTGGGCTTAAGTCCTTCCAGAATCGGCCCAACTTTTGTTGCAAAGCCTACCCAATCTATCCCCAAAACTATCAGTTTATCAGGCCCACCATCCATCTCTCGCTCGGCCCACTGCAGCTGGTCTAAGGTAAGGCCAACAATTGGCCCATGACTTTTCTCCGCTTTTTCCCCCACTCTTAGGCCTAACCTCAGAAACATACTCGACCCACTTCTTTCAAGGCCCATAGACCAACTCCGATTCGGCCCGCTCCTCTCTTCCTTGCGGCCCGATCAGCAGACGTCGCCAATCCCAAAACGAGCCCAGCCCGTTTCCTCATCCTGGTCATTCCTGGTGGCCCATCCAGATGTGCGGCCCATGTGGCCGAGCGACCCAAGGGAAGCTGCGGCTCTAGGGTTGCGAGGGAAAAGAATTCGTAGTCGCCAATCTCCTCCTTCTTACGCCTCGTCGCGCCGTCCGCCACCGTCGGCTCCATCTCCGCCGCCCAGCAGTCCTTTCTGTGGCTCGCCCTCCGCCAGCCTGACTCCGCCCTCGATTTCGTTTCCCCTCCGCCCAGCTTCGTGACCACGCGCGCTTCGGAACTCTGACATCATCTTCTCCTCTTGCAACGAGCGGGATTCCATTCTTGTCTCCGGCGACGTCTGGTTCTCCCTCCATAACTCCTTCCTCTCCAACTCCTACGACGCGCGAGGAGGCTCAACACCGACTCTCTCCTTTTCCATCTCCGGCGGATTCCTCTTCAACGGCGACTGGGGTTCGCCCTTAATCGGGAGAGAGATAGATCCGCCGCCGCCTTCTTCCTCGTTTGCCGCCAGATCTGTTAACGGCGCCGACGATCCAATCCAATGGCTTCCCATAACCTCTGCTTTGAGCCGTCGGTCGAGGATGAAACGCCCCTCCTCCGGCGACTTCCTCCTCAACCTCGCATCCTCGTCGCCTGATGCCATCTCGGGAGCCGCCTTAAATCGCTCCAACGGGGCCGTGAATCGCGAAGTCTCCCGCCCGATTCACGATGCTTGCGACGATCTTGCTCCTTCTGGAACTTCCAGCTATCGAACAAGGTTGGCGTCTTCTCTATTGACGCGGTAGCGGCCACCATGTTTGCGGCAGAGTCAATCATTGATGATGACAGTGGGGGAACCTCAACCATCATCTTCGTGGTTGGTATGGTGGAGGGCTCGGTGATGGAGGCCGTAGGGGTCACAAGATCGCCTCCTTCTTCTTCGACGTCAACATCGTCGATAGATCCTCCTTTTCGTCAGCCTTCCTCTTGGTTTTGACCGCCTCAGATTGACGCAACGCCAACTTGTCTTCTTCTTCGACTGCCGCTAGAAGAACGACGTTGATGTCCTCCGTGGGTGATGGTGGTGGTGAAGTCGCCACGGTGGTGGTGGTTGGCTTGGTTCCCCGCGGCGATTCGAGGATTCGTAAGATCTTGTCTATCAATCGCAGTTGCTCTACCGATCGTTGTTGCCACTTCTCCTCCCTCGTCTTTAGGGCATCCTCGAGTTCGATTAGTTGCTCGTGCGGCTTGTGAAAGCATTCCATGAGTGAGAGCCGTGATGAACTCATGCTCGCAGCCAGGTTCTGATACCAAATGATAGAACCTGGGATTAGGGTTCTATCGGGTCTGGTCGTGAGATTGGGAATTAGGGATTCATAACACAATTAGGGATTTAAGAAGTGAGAGATAGATAATCGGCCTAGGCCTTTAGAGGGATTGAGATCTAGAATTGAGAGTATTGGGAGATTAGGGTTTATGAGAGTTTTCTTAATATTTTTCTTGACTGATTATGATGAAACCATAAAGTACATATTTATAGGAAGTGATAGGAAAACCCTAATAATAAACCTAATACGATTAGAAGACCACTAACCATAACTAATAATATCCTAATTATAGTAATAATGATTATTATGTTAAATCCCAAGAATTGGGTTTTCATCAGCCTCCTGGAACTTCTTCGTTCTTCCACTTGCAACTTACGGTTTCTCTAGGTGAGTTACGGGCCAGGCCGTAACTTGCAAGGTATGGCCGTAACTAACCCACTTGCTCCAAAATGTCCTGAAACTTCGCTTCTACGCGCCCATTCACGTTCTAAGTCCTGAAACATCATAAACGAACACAACCTAGCGTAAAATAGGCCACGAGAGTGAAAAACCAAGCTTAAACGGTCGAGAAATGACGGGGGGGGGGGGGGGGGGGGGGGGGGGGGAACATTTTAGAATATGGCGTTATCAGTTTTCTACTTTCAGAATCATGACCCTTTGCGTGTGCTTTCTGTGATTGCGATCTGGAGACCAGAATTCATTCTTTTGCTGTGTTCTGTGTTTAAAAGCTTGTTTGCAGGAATTGCTTGCTCCATCTTTTCAACGTAGTTCATATGATGATTGGCAATGGCAAGTGGAGTTAAACTGGGCAATTGATGTTCCTAAAGGGGAGACTGTTCGTATGCAGGTCGCTCGAGTTACCTGGCAAGCTATGTTAAGCACAATTTGGAGGGAATGCTGCTCTATGAGACATGGTGGAGATAAGAAGAGTTACTCATAAATGATCGTCCATATTAAAAAAGATGTTAGAATGGTGTGTGTGGAGAGAACGAAAGTGCTATTTTTTAGCCTTTGGTTTTTTCGATGTTTGATTTTGGTAGTGCTAGAAAGATTTGAATTTACACAGGTGGTATAGAGTACAGATATAGGTCACTAACTTGGCTGTGTGTTGCCAAATGTGCTAGTTTCTTGATGATATAAAAGTTTCACTAATTCATCAAAAAAATTAGATAAAGTAAAAGTATTAAAGATATGGAGGAAAAAATAAATATATTTTATTAGAGAAGAAATTAGGTATATATAAAATTTCTAGTGACTTTTTGAAATCAAATATAACATATTGTTTGGTATAAATACTACAATTAGTAAGTGTTATTGCGTATGTCATATCAGCTAAAAGCTGAGAAAAACAATTTCAACTCAACTATCTCAACAATCACAACTAAAACCTGAGATATAACAATCACTCATTTTGAGTGATAGTTTCTGTCACATCACAGAAACAATACATGTATTGTTTCTGCTAAAAAAATATAAAAAAACGTCGCATTCTAAATAGTACATGTATATTAACAATCGTAACTTTCAAACAACCCCTAAAAGTTGAGATTGTTGTGATTGTAGGTTTAATAGTTAGACGCTTTTTCATTTATATCCTTATTTCCTTTTTTTAATATTAAAAGTGGAGGGCAAATGTGACATTTCTATATAAAGTAACATTATGACAATCAATTCATAAACTATAATCTCAACAACCAAACAATGTAATGTCAAAATGCATCTATCGTATCAATGCATGCATGTATATCATAGTGATTCATAACAATATAACGATTTAACATACGCAACTTCTAAACGACCCCTTTGAGTGATAGTTTGTGTCACATCAAGCAACAATTCATGTATTATTTGTACAGAAAGGTAAAAAACGATACGTTGTGAACAATACATGCATTTTAACTATTCTAACCAAACTATAAACTTATCCCTCTAGCTCCTACAAAGCCTTTTCCGATATAAAAATAAAATCCATGTCAAAGCTTCCATATTTGGATGTTTCTCCTTTTAGGAACGTCAAGAAGCAGATCAGGTCGGTAACATTATTGTGAGTAATTATGACTTTATGAGTAACTCGTCCACATCAGCATGACATCAGCATCCATATCTCTAATGAAAAGCCTTTTATCTTTTCCTCTTTAATCTTTAACGAACGATTTTTCTCTCGTTTTAAATCGAAATTTAAATTTTTTTGCACAGACAAATCAGATTAATTGTGCTCTTTAAAATGATATTCACTTTAATATATTTTTAGAACAAAAAAAATTGAGTCATTTTATACCAGTCAATACTATATGGTATGCTCCTATTTAATACCATATGGTAAGAAAGCGTACCATGATGGTATGAACATACCAATACTGTAGGAAGGTTGAATAAATGATAGTAGGAGTATACTAACTGTCATTTAAGACTTTCATCATTGTTTACCACAAGTTACCACCCACATACTAGAGTGGTAAAGTATGGTAATTTTTAGTCTTGTATTTTTTCACCCAGAAATTTGTAGATCCAATAGATCATGATGAACTCGTTCCTTTTGAGCAAATGTTTTCAAAAATGACTTAAAAACGAAGAAGTTACTATATGGTATGTAGTTGGTAACAGGAAGTATGAAAAAAAGTTTCTCGAAATATATGGAAAATCGATCTCATTTTGTAGAGCACAACGAACTCGTTCCATCTATGCAAAAAAAAAAAAAAATTTGAAATCCGAGATAGAATGAAGAAGATAAGAGTCGATTAAGAGAACTAGGAAAAATAAAATACTTTTAATTCACAATCCTTAAATTTGGATTTTCTGGGCCCACTTAAATCTAAAGGTCCAGATTTAGTTACTCACAATATCCCAAGCCGGAACGTCAATTCGGAACGTCAATTAAAATCAAGGTTCAAAAAGGCGCTAGGCGTAAGGCGGGCGTTGAGCCTTTGCCTTGCGCCTAGCTTGCCTAGGCGTAGACTAAGCGTGCCTAGGCGTTGGAAGAAAAATAGCTATTCGCACTGCATGATGAGTGAAATAATTATCTACAACACTTCCTCACTTAAGTTAAAATGATTAATAACTTACTCAACACTTAATGCCAAGAACATAGCCCACGAATTCATAGAGTCATACCTCAATAGCTCACAAAGTTCTCAAGCTATTGAAAATATTGCAATAGAAAATTGATTTCGTAGTTGATGTTAATTTTGGCCTTTAATATTGGATTACTAGCTCCATCTAGTAATGTTCAGGAGAGACTTTTATGTCGCCTTACACCATGACGTGTTCCAGTATCTAATTAGGCGTGAAACCCCTAAGCGAAGCGTTTTGCCATTGCCTTGCGCCTAGGCGTGCCTAAACGTAAGATTAAGCGTGCCTTTTTGAACCATGATTAAAATTGATAGATGATAGTTTTAATATTTAGTCCACTTTAGTACTTTTTGTTTAAAATTTTAAAAGTTATTATGTATGCAATAATTATAATATACTTATTTATGAAAATTCGAGTTCAATATCAATTTTTAAACGGTCTATTATCGGTTAAATTAATAAAGTGTGAACCACAAGTACTTGCTCATACCCCAGTTTGGTTTTGACAAATCATTTGGTATAAATGAATTTCATAAGTTTTGAGGAATTCATTTTGAAATAATTTTTTTTTTGTATTGAGATGGAATTTGATTGTATTAGTTGTAGAAATTCCAAGGAATTGAGATAGAATTTCCAAATAAATTCCACAAGTATTTATTAATCATAGTAGGATGACATAATTACCCTCTTTTATTAACTATACTACTTCTACATATATCATTTGGCACCAATTTATGTAGTATGAGGAACGTCGGCAAGAATTTGATTAAAGCGCTAGTAGCATATGCTGGTTATTTGATATTTATGCTTTGATTGTATTATACGTTGAGAAGCCACAATTGTGATGGAATGGTTGTACAGCCAAAAAAATAAATTTAGGTTATAAATTTAAAGATCTATTATGTTTAGGAACTGAACTATAATTTGCATAGTTGAGGCTTAATTCCTTTTATAGTGATGTATTTAAGATGATAATTTTTTACTTATTTATATAGAAAATGAAAACTATTTATCTAACATATGTAGATGCCTAACAAAACATTCCATGTATAATTAATGAAAATTTTAGCCCGGGTGAAAAAGAAAAACTCCAGAGAGAAATAAAAGGAATACAAACTGGAACTCCCTTAAAATTTTACGTCTTCAAATCCCGTAGTGGAAAATGACGACTTTGTAATAAGTAATAACCTCTGCTTTTAATTGGACTCAACATTGAACTGAAAAAGTTAGTGGTTCATGGTTCAATTATTAATTCTCTAGACTGTTGATCAGTCGTGCATGGACTCGTTCATACTTGTGATTAGAATGCATAAAAATAATAATATACTAATTAGGGTTGGACGAAGAAGGCAAAGAAAGAAATAAAGAAAGGGTTATGGAAGTTGAGTGAAAAATGAAACAAAGAGGAAGTAGATGATGGAAAGGTTTTGACCAATTCTTTTAGTTGGCCGTCAATACTATAGTCAACCCTTTTCGCTGTAGCAATTTGTTGACACTTGCTTATGTAGATGTCACATATTTAGTTACATGTAGTTAGTAGAAGTTTGTTTAGTACCCCGTAAATGTACTAAATGAGTTTATAAATTCGCTTTTGTAATATTTTAGAGTCGTCTCTCTTTTATAATTTATTTTATGTTACATATAATGAGCACATGTAAAATGGTCGAATCTTCTCATACTGTTGAGTGATACAACATATTGTATGATACAAACTAAATTTATACTTTTATGTTATGGTGGATTGGACTCATGTATTGGTGCAAAATGATTGGTGGATTGGATTCATGAATTTAAGTGACATCTAAACATTGGACTAATATGTAAGCATTGGACCAATATGTAAATTAAAAAAATCTCATAAAATTTAGATACCAAAACATAATTGTTCAATGATTTTACATTAAAATTAAATTTGAGGTATCAAAATGTAAAATGTATATTAAAGTGACTAGTCGTGATTTAATTAAATTTGAGATATCAAAATGTAAAATATAAGAAGAAGTGAGTTTTAATATATATATATAAAGAAGAAGTGAGGTAACAAGTTATTACCTCACTTCTTCTTTATATATATTAATTATATCTTGCTGGACGACACTCATCCACCACACCACAACTCTCCCCACCACAAAATCAAGTAATCAACCTTCTAATCTCTCTCTTTGTTCGACCCTGCGCAGAGCAAGCTGATACTCTATTGTTCTCCAGTTTCGCATGCAATCTAAGGTCAAAATTTTCTCACAAATCTCGCAATAGATCCACATGCTCAATTGGACGGCCAGAAAGAACAATCTCAATTGGATCGGGAGAAGCGAAGTCCATCGTCTGCTTGCAGTAGTGGTGGTGCGTCGTCGATAAAGAAGGTTGTTGGGAACTGGTGACTGAAACTCCACATAATCTGTCGAAAACATATTGATTTAATGTGCTTAATGTGATTATTTCATGATATGTTTGAGACATATAATGCTTTTTTTGAGGCAAATTAACTATGGAATGGTTGTCAGGCCATTACCGCCATGTGTTAGTGTTGTGATATATTTTAGGTGAAAAAAGCAAGCAACAAGAAATGCACAAACATATGTCAAATGCAAAACAAATCAGGCTAAGGACCAGTTATCCAGATCATAAGCAAACTAACCGGTTTGGGCCAACTTTGCTAACCCAATTTCACATATCATCAAATGGGCCAGCGCCCATACTCTCTTCACTCCACCGGTCCATTTAATTAGTAGCTGGGGGGTTTTTGGACGGAATTAATTGGATCCGAGGGGAATAAGTTGGGCTGCTTGGGGGAAAAGAGGATTGGGACGAGAGGAGGAGGGGAATTGGTCTTTTAGTGGGGGGAGCAATTAGCTGAGTACAAAATAAAAAGAGGCGGACCGGGAATTAACTGAAAAAAAAAAACAAAAATTGCTTTGGAGGAGAATTCTTTTGGAGAATTAATTGGAAGAAGAGCGTACGAGCAGCGCTTAGAGGTGAAACGCAGGAGCTGCGGAACGAGAGGAGAGCGTAACGGGCACGCAAGCTGCTGTGGAAAGACGAAAGCAATTGTGCTGTGGTTTGAAGATCTAGTAGTCTCTTCCTTTTATTAGTTTTGTGGTGAACAAAAACATGATTATTTGTTTTATTTTCGTCATGAACTAAACCCCAATTTCTAGGGTAAACACCATAGGATGTAGCTATTTCTATATTTGATGGATTGATTCATAATTCTTTTCTTCCAATCTCTATTGCATGAGATTGTTTAATGGTTTGTGTTGATTGGCCACCAATACAATGATTTGTAGTTAATTAGGCTATTAGCGACAGTGAAACCCTATTAACTGAATCTATTTCATGTGACATAGTAACTTATCGAAGCAACTGTGGATTAAATAAGGTACTATGCGGTCTTGATTGGGATATCGGTCATCAGACTAAATAATTAACTCAATGAGCTACGACAGTAGGATTTGATTTAATTGTTTAGTACGTAGTAATTCCCGACAGGGATAGCTAGCACAATAGAGATATCCCGGATGTAGAGATATGGATTAAACTGATTGGAATATGTGAATTAATTTTGATATGATAGGTAGTGAGTCCCGGTGTCTCTCCCAGAGCTTTCTCCCATTGATTTCATCCCACCAATTTAGTTGCTTCTTTTGTTAAATTATTAGATAGTAGTTTCATCACTTAAACATTTTCACATATAGTTTGCTCTATAAAATCGATAGAATATAAGGTTGTACCAGTCCCTGAGAGACATTACCCGGACTTCCGGTTTACTACAATATAGGAATTGAAGCATTACGCTTTTTTCCTATCAAGTTTTTGGCGCCGTTGCCGGGGACTACCATACCCTATTTTTATTAATTTTAGTGAGTGAACTATTTTGATCTGGGTGTTAGTGTGCAGGAGAATTGTTCAGGTTTATCCTTCCTTGTGCATGCCTAGGAGGACGACCGACGATTTACTGCCACTAGATCCGGAGATCGAGAAGCCTGCCGACAGAACATGAAGCATGTCAAGTTAGGGAAGCAGCCAACTACAACTCCTAGGCCTTCCCTTACCCATAATCGTCAACAGAGAGGGCATGCTTCATCACCTATCATCCCTACACCACCGACACCACCACCGCACGACATCGAGCCTGTCATTATGGCAGACCAGGATCATTCCATAAGGGCTCGCTTGAATCGAAGGACTAGAACCCGAGCTTCATGTGTCGTCATTCCGGTTGGGGATGCAACCATGGAGATTACCCCAGCATTCATCAACATGATCACCAACGGGTATACTTTCTCCGGGGCTAGCAATGAGGATCCTCACAAATATCTTCGCCGGTTCGCGATCATATTTGATACGATGAAGAGCCCAACTGTGTCTGATGATGCAATTCTTCTTCGGATGTTCTCATTCTCCCTGATAGGGAATTGATAACGATGTAAATGCACATGTTTGCGCCCCTAGTTCTTATCCATTTGAGGAGTATAGTCGTGTGTTTTGGCCTATTTTACGCCGGGTTGTGCTATTTTGTCATGTTTCAGGTCCCAGGCGTTAAAGGGAAGGCTAACCGCGAGTTTCGGGGCATTCGGAAGTCATTTCGGTGAGCTGGAGCCAAAACACGGGCAGACCCAAGGGATTACACGGCCGTGTACTGCTGGCCGTGCTTTTTATGCCGAGAGCAAATTCAGTTTGGCCAATTCAGCTGCAAACACGGGCACCAAAGCACGGCCGTGTACATTGCGAAGCACGGCCGTGTTTAACCCACTTGCTGGCCGTGTAATTAAGCCCTGGCCGAGGCACGGGCGGAGTCAGGCAAAGCACGGCCGTGCCGTCGACCGTGCTTTGGCCACTGATGCTTTTATGCAGATTTTCAGCCACAATTCAGGGGAGAGCTGGGTTTTGGATCCCAAACACCCAAGGGACGAACCAAAGAGAGAGAGGGCGATTTGAGGGCATTCTTGGAGTGGAGTTGGAGGATTTTTTTCGCCTTGGAAGCTCGAGGAACAAGCCCGGACTTGAAGACTGATCATCTGAAGATTCTTACTGCAGTCTCTCTCTTCTCTATGGAGTAACTTCCCTTCACTTAGGTTTTGAGGAACCCTAGCTATGTTTGTTTGATTGGATGATTGTATGAGTACTCTGACTTGATAATGTTGAGTTCATATTCAATCTATGCATATTTTCATGATTCAATTCTGCTTTAGTCGAGATTATTGATTCTGCTTTGATTCTATGAGAGGGAATACCTGATTAGGTCAATATAGCACCATAGATTGATAGTAGTGGATCGATTGCTTTAGTCGAGGGTTGATTCACTGCTTTGTATTGATTGAGAACCCCTTTCGATAGAGGGAGTCTAGTTCAGAACGCCTTGATCAGTTGTTCTAGAGAAGGATACGTCCCTCTAGGCAATTGACTCAAGAGGGCCTTGTTCCTTTAGTCGAGACTCAAGGTCTAGTCAAGGATTCTCCGCATTGTGAATGAAAGTGAAACAGGTTAGAGATCATCAATCATTAATCTGGCTAGTGGCTAGGGGGAATCATACCTAAGTGAGTTCCCAACCTGTAATTAGATTAACTTTAACTGTAGTTTGCTAGAGTAGTTTTAGTTCTTTCATCTTAATCTGATTTGCTAAATAATAAACTGAAGCTGAGTAATAGTAACTCTAGAGACCCGTGGATTCGATATTTATCACTTGAGCCACTATACTGCAGTCCCTTTCATTGGTTACACTTGGCCTTTGTTAGGTGTTGTGTCGTAGCCCCTTTCATTGGTTACACTTGGCCTTTGTTAGGTGTTGTGTCGTAGCGAGTCAGGAATGCATCACACTAGTTTCAGAACTTAACACCTCGATCGATTACGACATGGGCTCAACTTGAGAAGATCTTTCTGGATAAGTACTTCCCACCTGCCTTGGCAATGAAGAGGCAAGAGGAAATTGTTACTTTTAAGCAGGCAAATGATGAGAGTCTGACCGAGGCATGGGAGCGCTACAAGGGGTTGTTGATGAGATTCCCAAGTCATGGTCTTGAGGATTGGAACGTGATCATTATTTTCTTCAATGGAATCAAAAGGGAGTTCCGGGGTGCCCTTAATAATGCTTCGCGGAATGGTTTCACAAGCATGGAGGCACCAGCAGCATATGATCTAGTAGAGAAGATATGTTCAGAAGCCACTGAATGGGGTAGTGAGAGCAGTATTCGAAGAGGAGGAGGCTTGCATGAGGTTGATAGAGCTACAAGTCTAAAAGCCAAGATAGATGCCAAGTTAGACTCTAAGTTCGATGCACTCGAACGAATGTTGGCCAAGATTGCTCTGGGTAGACAAGAGGAGGTTGCTTTATGTGAACTTTGCGAGGGTGCTCATCATAGGGATATGTGTCCACTGGGAGCTGCTCAGTTGGAAGATGTCCAGTATATCAATAATTTGCGAAGTCAAGGCCATGGTGGTATGTATTCAAATACATACAACCCTCAATGGAGACATAACCCCAATATGTTATGGTCAAACAATAATCTAGCTAGTGTTCGAAACATCCCACCTCCCGGTTTCCAGCAACAACAACCTCAATCAGAGAAGAAGCCCCAGTTAGAGGAGTTGATTTTGGCTCATATGCAGAAAACAGAAAATAATTTCAAGGGTCTATATCAATTTGTCACTCAACATCTGGCTATCAACAACAACGTGCAATCATCTCTGCTAGCTATGGAGAGGCAAATAGGCCAAATGGCTCAAACTTTGGCAGATATTCAAGGTAGGATTCCGGGGACTTTACCAGCAAATACCGAGAGGAATCCAAAGGATGCCATGGTTGTAGCTGTCACATTGAGGAGTGGAAAGGCCTTGGAGGATCCAGAGAGTTCAAGGAAGTCAACAAAATCATAAAAAGGAGTTGTAGAGGTAGAGGATGAAGAAAGTGCAAAAGCTGAAAAATCTGACTTGCACAGGCAAACTGCATGCAATCTGCCTATGCATGAGCATTCTGCCTGTGCACCTCCAAAGGTGGAAAAATTCAAGAATGAAGAGGTAAATCCTTATGAACCTCCCGCACCATTCCCTCAAAGGTTAATGAAGCCCATGGAAGACCCAAACTTCAAGAAATTTGTGAATATCTTCAAGCAACTTCATATCAACATACCGTTGGCAGAGGCACTTGAACAGATGCCTACGTATGCTAAATTCTTAAGGGAGTTGCTGACCAAGAAGTCTAAATGAGCTGATCTAGAGAAGGTAATCCTTACTTCTAAATGTAGTGCTGTGATTCAGAATAAATTACCAGAAAAGAGGGATGCTCCGTGCAGTTTCACCATTCCATGTGTCATTGGAGGTACAGAGTTCGGTAAATCATTTTGTGATATGGGAGCAGGAATTAATTTGATGCCAACAGAGTCTATAAGAAATTGGGATTGGGAGATGTTATTAAGCCTACTCGGATCACTCTCCAATTGGCTGATCGATGAGTGAAAATTCCAAAAGGAGTGGTGGAGAATGTATTGGTGAAGGTGGGGAAGTTTATTCTCTCTATAGATTTTGTGATCCTGGAGATTGAAGAAGATCGGGGAGTGCCTCTCATTCTTGCTAGACCTTTTCTAGCCACTGGCGATGCACTCATTGATATCGGGAGAGGCAAGTTGACATTCCGAGTAGGTAAGGAGGAGGAAATTTTTAATGTCTTTCAAGTTGACCATAATCACGATGCATTTGATGACTTTGAAAGTGGAGCTTGAGAAAGGAAAAATTCCTCTTCCTGTGATAGTGGACCACCCAAAGAACTATCGCATGTCCTAGCAGCTCAAAGTATGAAATCAAAGCAAGGGCAGAAATCCTTGCCAGGTCACCTCAAGTATAGATATTTGGGTAAGAATTTCAATCTTCCTGTTATTATTCCTTGTTCACTGACATTGAAACAGGAAGAGTACTTGCTTGAGGCACTGCAATACCACCTACGCCTCACTAAGGGGTCCAACATGCAAGCTAAGAAGGTCATACCCAATTTTCGCACACCTTGCCCTGCAGAGGTGACTCATATGTTGGATGGAGGTTATGCATTCTATCATTGCTTGGGAGGGTATTCTCGATACCTTTCCATACCCATTGGTTGAAAGCTCCATGAGCGTCAGGCTGAGGACGTTAAACAAGCGCTTCTTGGGAGGCAACCCAAGGTGAGTTTTCTTTTCTTTATTTTTTTGTTGTTGTGTCAAATCCGTGCATGTTTAGATTAGGAGTTTAACATTAGGGACAATGTTCCATCCTAAGTGTGGGTTGGTGAGTCATAGTGTTGTCTGTCCCTGTTGCATGTGGTAAAAAAAACCCAAAAAAAAGCTGTCATTTGGGTTGTGCACAGCCAAACTGAATGCAGTCTACCTGTGCTGGTGCAGTCTGCCTGTGCTAACCTAATGGCTAAAAAACACCTAAAAATAAGAAAAATTGAAAACAAAACCTTGTACTCTTGTGGTAACATGATGTAAATGACCGTAATGTATGTGAAATGAGTTTGTGCTTGAAGAAAATCATCAAAATCACCCCCACTAATGTTGAATTGCATAGTTCTTCACAATGAGCTTGATGTTTTGACTAACTTGATGTGCTTTAAATTGGCAAGCTCTTTTAGCAACACTTTATTCTGTGAGGATAGTGTAATGACTTTTGTTGAAGTAGTTAGGTGGAAGAACATTGACCATTAGACATGTTTGGATACCGTGCTTCCTTGCATATGTTGTGAGCTTTTGACTTTGCAATGAGTCTCTCTGTTTTAAAAGGTTTTATGATGGGGTGAACTGTATCTTTATAAAAGAAAAAATCCTACCTGACAAGTAAAATATAAGAAAGTTGTCATAACAATTAAAGTGTGGGTAAAATGCCAAGATCGTGTGAGGCAATCACTCATTGCACAGGGGGATTAGGAAAGGTTCAACTGAGCATCGGTTTGCGACCGTACGATGTTGCTTATCAAGTACGATCCCCGTTGGGTGAAGTGCCATTTTAGGATGTGCAGTGACCCTCCACACGGACTGAGGAAAATGAGTTGAAAGAAGCCCTTATGCGAGTGCTAAGAAGCAGAAATTGCTCTTGATTGGTCACCGATAGTAAGATACAAATCCCACTTGTACTAAATACGACAACTCGGCAAGCAAAATAAAAAAGAGAGAAAGCCTCTCCTTGTCAGAAAGGTAGTGATGTGATTAAAGTAAAAAACCAAGTTTGCTAAAAGGTTCCCCATTTGTTTTTGAGACTCATGCTTAGTTAACTCTTATGATTGGTGTGAGTTAGCCAGATTGTCCTCACGAGATATGCACCTCACTGATGTTGTTAGATTCTCCTAATAACTGCTGCACTGATAGACCGTTAATTACACATGTTTTCACCCCTGTTCTTACACCGTTTGAGTTGTGGTTTCTCGTGTTTTAGACCGATTTCACGCTAGGTTGTGCTTGTTTGTGATATTTCAGGTCCTGGCAAGTGAATGAAGGTTTAGGAGCGAGTTTGAGGTCGATTGGGCGAAGATCGAGTGCGAGGCAAGTCACAAAGGAAGTCGCACGGGCACACCCACAACCCGCACGGCCGTGCAAGTGACCAGTTTGGCCGTGTGGGATTGTGCAAGAGCAAACACGGGCAGAGCAGAAAATCCACACGGCCGTGTGAGGATGCCTTTTGGCCGTGTGGAATTCTGCGAGGGTTCGCACGGCCAGGCTGGGTGAGCTGCACGGCCGTGCGACCCTGGCCGTGTAAGAAGCCTGGAATTCAACTAATCGATACGCTGCGTTTTGACTCGCACGGGCAACGAGGTGAGCCACACGGCCGTGCGGCCTGCCCGTGTGAGTCGGGATTTTCTGGTTTTAAGCCAATTTCCAGCCACAAGTCATAGGGATTCGAGTTTTGAGAGAGATAGAGCGATTCCTAGAGAGAGAAAGCGACGAACCAGAGTCTCCAAGTGCCCTAGCTTGATCTTCATCACCATTGGAGGCCAGTTTGAGCTTGGAGAAGTGCCGATCAACGTCCAGGAGCAGGAATCCATCCTTCACAGTATGAATTCCGCGTCTGATTCTGCTTTTGCTTCTTTCTCTATGGAGTAGTTCTCCCAGTCATCTGGGTATGGAGAACCCTAGATTTGTATGTTAGGTTTGATTGTATGAACCCAAGTACTGTTTCTATGATTTGATTATGTTCAATTGAGGTTTGAATGATTGAATGACTTGAATCCTGATCAAATTCCTGTTGTTTCTGCTTTAACCTAGAATGAGAATATCTGCCTAGGTTGATAGAGCATCCTTGATTGAAGGTAGGGAGTTGGTGACTTTAGTCGAGGAGCCAACTCACTATTCTGTACCGGTTTTACTCCGGTAGTGGAGGTTTTGTTTGTTAAGGCCTCAATCTGTTTACTCCGGTGGAGGTTAGTCGCCCGCTATAGACTCAGATTGAGAGGGTCTGAAGACCTTTAGTCGAGACTTCAGGCTGTTTGAGAACCTTCCGCAGTATAACTATCATAGAAACTGAACTTGGTAATTACAATCCGGCTTAACTGCAGTCTAGGGGGAACCATATCCGGGTGACCTCTCTTAACTTGAATACAACAGTTTACTTGCTTTGTTAGTTTGTTAGTTTAGACTTGCATTAAAGTTTCATTGCTAGATAACAAGAATTCACCGAGTAGTCATCAAATCTAGGACCCGGGTTGACATTTAAACCTAAACCCGCTATACTACACTTTAGGAAGTGGTTTCACTTGGCCAATTCCTGGAGTGACAGTAGAAGTGAGTCAAGTTTTTGGCGCCGTTGCCGGGGAACGGCTAGGTTGTTGAAGAAAAGTGATTTCTGTTAATTTAGCTTTTCTTTTTGCTTTGTTTGCTTTGTCCCACTTGTGCCTTCACGGGTTTGCTTGCTTGAGTGTGTGCAGGTAGGGCATGACTCGTAGCCAGTCAGGAGGTTTACTGCCGTTGAATCCAGAGATTGATCGCACCTATCGCCAGCTTAGGAGACAACAGCGAGCTAGACTGGCTACGGAAGAGCGCATAGACGGCCACCTGAGTAGCGATTCTGAAGAAGAGCACGGGATGGACGGAGACTACAATCAACACCAGGGGAATCCACAGCAGGTTACCCCGGCGAATCAGGTCCTAGGGAACAACCCCATACCCCCGGATCATGGGGTTCATCATCCACCGCAGCCGGGTCCCACCTTGGAGTACTACTACACTCCTCGGATTGCTGACATCCGCCCGGTCATCCTCTACCCGCCTATTCCAGCAAACAACTTCGAGCTCAAGCCATGCTGGATTTAGCTCATTACATCTTCTATCCAGTTCCATGGCTTGAAGGATGAGGAGGCCAGGGTGCATCTTTCCCGTTTTCTGCAGCTGACGAACGGGTTCAAGCTGAATGGTGTCCCTGATGATGCAATCCGCCTTCATCTCTTTCCCCATTCTCTGGCGGGGAATGCTAAGAGGTGGTTAAAGACCCAGCCCCCATTGTCCATCACCTCTTGGGACGATCTGGCTGACAAATTTGTGCACAGGTACTATCCGGCATCGAAGACTACAGAGATCCAGCGGGAGATCACTCACTTTCGCCAAGAGCCAGATGAGTCACTTCGTGATGCATGGGAGCGGTACATGGGCTATTTCTGGCAGTGTCCCCATCATGGTTTTAGTGATGCATTCACAGTGGGGAAATTCAACAGTGCTCTCTCTCCAGACAGCCAGAGGGTGATTGAGTCTCTATGCCCAGGAGGGGATATTCTTACTAAGACTCCACCCGAGCTGAACTAGATGATTAATACCTTGGCTGGCAGAGATCATTCTTGGGGGCAGAGCAGCAGAGGCAGACATTCCCGGGACCGTGGTGTGCACGCCATGGAGACCAGATCCGGGCTCGAGCAGCAGGTAGCTGAGCTAGTGCGGACATTGAAGCAGCCCACCAGTCTTATTCCGGGCAGAAGTTTGGCTACACCTCCAGTTGCTCAATGTCAGTGGTGCGAGAGCTCCAATCACCTAGTGGAGAACTGCCAGGCTATGAGGGAGTCTACCACTCCCCAAGAGCAGTTGGACTTCATCGCCAATGCTCGGCGCCTCGACCCGTACAGCAACACATATAATGAGGGGTGGCGCCAGCATCCCAACTTCGCCTGGAGCAGCAACACCACTAAACCACCTGGTTTCCCAGCACCAGCAGGTGGTTTTCAGCAGAGGCAGCCCTTCCAGGCTCGACAGGGGCCAGCCCCATAGCAGTAGCCCTACCAGCCTAGGCTGGGGCAACCATTCCAGCAGCCCCAGCGCCAGTTCGCCGAGCCAGCAGCAGCTCCGACTCCAGATGACCGGATGACAAAGCTGGAAAATATTCTAGCTTCATTCATGACTAGCACTCAGGCTGCTATCACGTCACTGGAGGCAGGTCAGCGGAACCAGGGTGCCATTTTGCAAGATCTGCAGACCCAGGTGGGCATCTTGGCCCTCCAAAACACTACCAGGGCACCGGGGACTCTGCCTGCCACCACTATCCCGAATCCTCGGGATCCTCACCAGCTCCAGCAGCTGGATGTCATTTTTACCAGGAGCGGTAAGACCATATCTGCTGATCCTGTCCCGGCCAGACAGGAGGAACCACTACCTGCTTCAGCACTTCCAGCCGACGATGCAGAAGTGCGGGTGGAGAAGGAAGCCCCTGCTCCCAAGCCACAACCAGTGGTTAAGGAGCATGTACCCCAGCTCCCCTTCCCCACTCGCCTACACAAAGACAAGTTGGAGACTGAGTTTGCCAATTTTATGGCAATGTTGAAGCAGCTCAACATCAGCATGCCGTTCGTGGAGGCACTGTCGAAGATGCCCAAGTATGCAAAGTTCATGAAGGATCTCCTCACCAACAAGAAAAAACTTGGGGATCTCTCGACAGTGTTGCTGAGCGAGGAGTGTTCTGCTATCCTGCAGAACAAGCTGCCCGAAAAGCGCAAGGATCCAGGGAGTTTTACTATCCCTCTTACTATTGGCAGCATGCATGTAGGCAAGTCCTTGGCGGACTTAGGCGCTAGCATAAATGTCATGCCATATAAGTTGTATAAAAAGCTAGACCTAGGTGAACTTACCCCTACTAGGATGAGCATTCAGCTAGCTGATCGTTCCATTGTGCATCCTAGGGGAATCATAGAGGATCTGCTTGTCAAGGTCGGTGCATTCACATATCCGGTTGATTTTGTTATTCTTGATATACATGAGGATGTGGATGTGCCTTTGTTTCTGGGGAGACCATTTCTTGCCACCGCCAAGGCACTTATTGATGTGCATGATGGTAAATTGATCCTGCGTACTGGGAATGAACAGGCTACTTTCTCTGTGACTGAATTTGATCACTGTGCTATGATTGCTGTCACACCTGTGCATGCCCTTTCTGATCAGGTACACGAGCCTGTCGTGTATCCTTCTGCACCTCTTATTTTGCAGGACCCTCCTATCATTCCTTCGCCGCCACTCCATCCAGCCTCGCCTCCGAACAAAAAGATCAAGGAGGAGTGACGGCCGAAGCAGCAGGTTGCTAAGCCTGCACGGAAGAAGGGTGGAGGCCACTATGAGCTGGTCCCACCCCCTGCACCACGACCACCCTGGCCGTCCGGGTACTCACTCGCCTGCATCTTGCTGGATGGCCAGGTCGAGCTGACCGATGATGGTGGTCGCATCCGTCGGGTGCATGGCCACAACCTGAAGCTGTACCTCAAGAGCAACGTGGATCCGCTCTTGGAGGCACCTGTTCCTGCACCTCCCTGAGTATCCACCATGGGCGTCCAGCTAAAAGACGGTAAAGAAGCGCTTGTGGGGAGGCAACCCCACCACGGTTTGATTTTCTTTCTTGTGTTTTGAGTCGGATTGTAAACCAGTTGGTTTTGGTTTGTTTTCTTTTGTTTTGGATGATGTATTATTGGGCTGACCATTGGACCTAACATATCGTGTTTGAGCTCTTTGGTTTCATTTAGCTGTGCTTGTCTTGACTGGTTCCCTCTCCAGTACGCTTCACTCCGATTGGCCCGTCTCCAGTCTCCTCCTGTCCGTGCATACCGGTAACATCGTTCCCCTTTTCCTTCCCTCTTCTCCATTGAGGGCAATGTCGATCTTAAGTGTGGGGGGATGTTTATCTTTTGACTGCATTAGATCTGTTTGTGTGCTTGGAGCCTAGTCCACTGTCCAAATTTTTAAATTTGAGGGCTCCAAGTACGTGTTTCCATGCAATTGCCTGCTCAGTATGCTTTGAATTGACAGTCTTTATAGTAATATGCAACCTAGGGAGGTAGTGTAGCACTATGGAGGGTGTTGATTCATTTAAGAAGTCTCATTGCTTTTTCATATTGTGTTGGTTGATTGAGTGAATTAGTGATCTTAGGACCCTTGAATTGTGTGGTGTTGTGGATTCTCTACCTGCCATGGACTCTTGTTTCATGTTTTGAGTTTAACAGGTGCTCAAAAATGTGCTTTAGAATAACGTTTCCCGTGCGAATAGGGCGAAAGTGTGTAAGGGGAGATGGGAATTCGTTCCCAATTTCCACCTACTACCTCCAGCCCCCTTACATGTCTTTCCCCCGCACGAGGCTCGAGACATCCGCTCCTGGCATGGCCGGTAAGAGCAGGTTGGGACCCTTGAAAAAAAAAAGAGAAGAAAAAATAACAGAAAACAAGCAAAACAGAAAGAAAAGGGGTTCCAACCATCTTCAAGAAGAAAATAGAGCACCTTGAAAAATGTGAGTCCATGATCCTTTGTTTTTGAGAATTTCTTCATCCAAAATTCATTTTTCCTCTGTTCACTATTTGCCATGATGCCGACTCGATACTAGTGCTCTCGCCGAAGGAGCTATGAGATGACTGGTGCATCGGTTGACCTCGTAAGCTGCTAAATGATCTAGGAAGTCCTCTACCTACGATCTGGGGTGTTTGTTGCTATAGAGGTCTGGAGAGTTGCATTGGTTTGAGTTAGGTTTGCTTGGGGACAAGCAAACGGTTAAGTGTGGGGGAGTTTGATAGACCGTTAATTACACATGTTTTCACCCCTGTTCTTACACCGTTTGAGTTGTGGTTTCTCGTGTTTTAGACCGATTTCACGCTAGGTAGTGCCTGTTTGTGATATTTCAGGTCCTGGCAAGTGAATGAAGGTTTAGGAGCGAGTTCGTGGTCGATTGGGCGAAGATCGGGCGCGAGGCAAGTCACAAAGGAAGTCGCACGGGCACACCCACAACCCGCACGGCCGTGCAAGTGACCAGTTTGGCCGTGTGGGATTATGCGAGAGCAAACACGGGCAGAGCAGAAAATCCACACGGCCGTGTGAGGATGCCATTTGGCCGTGTGGAATTCTGCGAGGGTTTGCACGGCCAGGCTGGGTGAGCTGCACGGCCGTGCGACCTTGGCCGTGTAAGAAGCCTGGAATTCAACTAATCGATACGCTGCGTTTTGACTCGCACGGGCAACTGGGTGAGCCACACGGCCGTGCGGCCTGCCCGTGTGAGTCGGGATTTTCTGGTTTTAAACCAATTTCCAGCCACAAGTCGTGGGGATTCGAGTTTTGAGAGAGATAGAGCGATTCTTAGAGACAGAAAGCGACGAACCAGAGTCTCCAAGTGCCCTAGCTTGATCTTCATCACCATTGGAGGCCAGTTTGAGCTTGGAGAAGTGCCGATCAACGTCCAGGAGCAGGAATCCATCCTTCACAGTATGAATTCCGCGTCTGATTCTGCTTTTGCTTCTTTCTCTATGGAGTAGTTCTCCCAGTCATCTGGGTATGGAGAACCCTAGATTTGTATGTTAGGTTTGATTGTATGAACCAAAGTACTGATTCTATGATTTGATTATGTTCAATTGAGGTTTGAATGATTGAATGACTTGAATCCTGATCAAATTCCTGTTGTTTCTGCTTTAACCTAGAATGAGAATATCTGCCTAGGTTGATAGAGCATCCTTGATTGAAGGTAGGGAGTTGGTGACTATAGTCGAGGAGCCAACTCACTATTCTGTACCGGTTTTACTCCGGTAGTGGAGGTTTTGCTTTTTAAGGCCTCAATCTGTTTACTCCGGTGGAGGTTAGTCGCCCGCTAGAGACTCAGATTGAGAGAGTCTTAAGACCTTTAGTCGAGACTTCAGGCTGTTTGAGAACCTTCCGCAGTATAACTATCATAGAAACTGAACTTGGTAATTACAATCCGGCTTAACTGCAGTCTAGGGGGAACCATATCCGGGTGACCTCTCTTAACTTGAATACAACAGTTTACTTGCTTTGTTAGTTTGTTAGTTTAGACTTGCATTAAAGTTTCATTGCTAGATAACAAGAATTCACCGAGTAGTCATCAAATCTAGGACCCGGGTTGACATTTAAACCTAAACTCGCTATACTACACTTTAGGAAGTGGTTTCACTTGGCCAATTCCTGGAGTGACAGTAGAAGTGAGTCATGCACCATAAGTTGTTAATCACCCACTACCGACGATCAGAATTGAGTGTTGCTATTTGAGTTTTTGGTGGATTGGAGTCACTCGATGGTAAAGGGTTCAAAGACCTTGAGTGTGGGGTGAATGGTATGATCACTAAAGCACAACTCATCAATTGAGAAAGAAACTACAGATTATCACAACTAGTGAGTCCCGGTGTTTCTCCCAGAGCTTTCTCCCATTGATTTCATCCCGACAATTTTAGTTGCTTCTCTTGTTAAATTATTAGATAGTAGTTTCATAACTTAAACATTTTCACATATAGTTTGCTCTATAAATTCGATAGAATATAAGGTTGTACCCGTCCCTGAGAGA